GAGTGTCTTGAGTTTTTCCCAAATTCTTTGGGTTTATTTTTGTTATTCTTTATATTATTGCAGAAATCAAGCCAATTTGTTTCTTTGAGTATTTTAATGTTGTTTTTTATTTGCGTGTTAAGTCTATTAATTTGAGTTTTGATAATGGGGTCTCGCGAGGTGTGATGTTGTCTTCTTAGTCGTCTTCGTTCTGTATTTAACTTGTGAATTTCTGGAGTTAATTTCCAGTGATTATGTGATTGCGAGTTTTGACTTGCTGCTGAAGGGATGGTTTCGGTTATAGCTGTGTTATATTTTTGACATATATGTCTAAGTCCTGTTTGGTATTGATTAGAGGAGATAGTTGACTGTTAAGTGTTTCGTTGAATTTTTCCCAGTCAGTTTTTGTGTAGTTGTATACTGATGGGAGTTGTGGTGAGGGAGGTCTTCGTGTATATATTGTGCATGAAATGGGGAAGTGATAGCTGGAGATTTCTTGATGAACTGTAAAGTTAGTGATCTTAGTTTTTAACTCGTGCGGGACTGTAATAAGATCTAGGACATCGTACGTGTTTGTTGGCGAGTGGTAATTTGTGGGAGTGTGGCCGTTCATGATTTGCATGTTCTTGTTGTTTAGTAAATCTCTGATTAAAGTGCCTCTGGGCGTGTTTCTTGTTCCGTTTAAATCTTTATGTGGGGCGTTGAAATCGCCTATAATTATAGGTTTAGGTTTTCTTGATAAACATGTTTGCAGAAAATTTAGATCTAAGTCTTTTGATGGAGAACAATAAATAGCTACTAGTGGTATAGTTATTCTATTATTGATGTGGATGTTGCAAAAATATTTTCAATTGTATTTGAAGTAAAATTTTCTTCAATAGAAATGCTATTTGTTAAATTGTTACTACAGTATAAGGCTATACCTCTATTGTTATTTGTGTACGGGAGTGAGAATGATTTAAATCCTGGAATGTTAACATTGTAGTTTTCTTTAACTAGTGTTTCTGAGATTATCATGATATCGGCTTTGACTTGTTTATTGAGGTTGTGTATTTCTAGGTTTTTGTGATAAGGTCGCCTTGGCAATTTATGTGTAGAATTTTTATTGTGTCTGTGTTTGGTTCGTTTGTGGTGTTCGCTGTGTAATTCTAAGGGAAATGTGATGAGGTTTTAAGTTCGGGAGTGGAAACTAGCGTCTGGCTATTGTACAGAGGGCTTCTAAGCTCTCTGGGCGTGACGAGAAGGCGGGATATTCGCTTAACTTGATCAGCATAAACAGCAGATTAACGGCAAAATCAGCAGGGTTAAAGGAAGTGTTGTCTTGCTGATGTGTGTGTGTTTCGATAGCTTTTGAGTATAGTTTTGTTGAAGCTGCAGGTTTGTTGTGTTTGAAGCCTGTGGATTTTGTGCATTGGTGGGAGAAACCTTACAGTTGGAGAGTGTGTAGAAAACAGTTTGTTAAAGAAAGTTACTTAAAACAACATTAAAGAAAACACACACACAGTTGTACAGTGTGTGGAAAAGAGTTTGGAGCAATGAGTCAGTTAAATGTACATGAAAGAATACATACTAGGGAGAAACCTTACAGTTGTACAGTGTGTAGAAAACAGTTTGTAACAAAGAGTGCGTTAAAAGTGCATCAAAGAAAACACACTGAAGAGAAACTTTACAGTTGTACAGAGTGTGGTAAACAGTTTAGAAGGAAGAGTCAGTTAAAAATACATGAAAGAATACACAGTGGCGAGAAACCTTACAACTGTTCAGATTTAGAAAACAGTTTGTAACAAAGAGTGATTTAAAAGTACATCAAAGAAAACACACTGAAGAGAAACCTTACAGTTGTACAGTGTGTAGAAAACACTTTGTTAAACAAAGTCATTCAAAACAACATAAAAGAAAACAAACTGGGGAGAAACCTTACAGTTGTAGAGTGTGTGAAAAACAGTTTGGAAGAAATAGTGATTTAAAAGTACATGAAAGAATACAAACTGGGGAGAAACCTTACTGTTGTACAGTGTGTAGAAAACAGTTTGGAACAAACAGTACTTCAAAAATACCTGAAGGTACACACACTGAGGAAAAACTGTATTGTTGTATAAATTGTTGAAAACACTGGGTAAAAAAGTCACTTAAAACAACATAAAAAAAATGCGAGTGAGAATCCTTATAGTTGTACAATGTGTGGAAAAGACTTTGGATAAAGCAGTTCCTTAACATATGAATGTATACATAATTAATAGAAACCCTGAAGTTGTGAGTTTTGTAGAAAACTATTTCAAAGTAACTCTTAAGTTAAAAAATATGAAGGGAATACATACTGGGTTGAAACCTCACAGTTGTGTAGTATGTAATAAAGAGTTTAGAACAAATAGTGTTTTAAAATATCATAAAAGAATACATACTGTAGAGATAACTTACAGTTTTTCAGTTTATTGAAAACAGTTTGCAACAAAAGATAGATTAAAAATACTTGAGAGAAAACATACTGTTGTCTACTGTGTTGTGAATAACTTGGAACAAACGGTAACTACTACTGAATGTGATAGTTGTTTATAAGTTGTTGAACCACAAGATATAGGATTATCTTTGGTGTGTTTTTGATACCTGTAATTGGGAATTATACTGTGTTAGTGTTGATATGATTTAAGTGACAACAAAATAAATTTAACAAATCATTAGAACCAGTATCTGTATATTAATAATCCAGTATATACTGAGAATGTGCTGCTATGATTGATTTTCATGGATTTGAATAAACACTTACAGCCTTCTGGGACTTGAATGATCTTGAACTATCAGTTTCATGGTATTCATTCAGTTTCTACTAAGATGATAAAAGAATAAATAAAATATTAATAAAAAATTTTGTCTGAGTCTTTACATTTCTAGATATTTAAATTACATATACACATTTCGAAAAGAACTTTAAAATATTGATGTCAGTCAACATGTTCAGAGAAAAGAGTATTAGAAGATTTTGTTATAAACAACCAATTAAAATGGGAAGATATCTCTTAGAATTAATCCTGAAATCACTAACTTAATGTTGGTTGTTGTAACAATATACCATCATATTTCCACAGCTGAATTTAAACTGTTTGAAATATGGACTGATACCAACATTTTTCTGTTTTTGGTAGTAATTCAATGTAGAAAAAGATTTTATGAAGTGTGAAACTGTATAAATTGCATCTTAATTATTTTTTATTTTAAATGTTTGACATTCATTGTAAAAAACCAATAAATTTAATTTAAAAGCTCATCAAGTAAAGTAATGCATGTGGTATTTATTATTAAAACCTGGTGTGGCCTTTTAGTTTGGGTGCTCAACTCATAATGTACCAGTCGTGGGATCAAACATGTTACTGAACCTGTGTAATGTGACAGTCAATCCTACTATTGGTTGGTAAAGAGTATCCCTAGAGTTTATAGTAGGCATTGTTGACTAGCTTCCTTCCCTGTAGTCTGTCACTAGAGATGTTAGTGATAAACAATACAGTTTTGTAATGTGTGGAAAGGAATGTTAAACAGTGAATAACCTAAAATAACATATTATACATTGGGGGTAAACCTTACAGTTGGGAAGTTTGAGGGAACAAATTTATGTAACTGTAACTTAAAAATACATGAAAGGACACACAGTAGTAGAGAGAAACCATGCAGTTGTTTAATGTGTAAAATATAATACATCATGGCTGTACTAGATTATGTATGTAAAATATAATACATCATGGCTGTAATGGACTGTGTGTGTAAAATATAATACATCATGGCTGTAATGGCTTTTGTGTATAAAATATACATCATGGTTGTAATGAACTGTATGTGTAAAGTACAGTACATTGTGACACAAATGGACTATGTTTATAAAATATAATACATCATGTCTGTAATCAGCCGTGTGTATAAAATGTAATACATCATGGCTGTGATGAGCTGTGTATAAAATATAATACATCATGGCTGTAGTGGTTTGTTGGAAGTTAAGCACAAAGCTACGCAATGGGCTCTCTGTGCTCTGCCCACCATGGGTATTGAAACCCTGTTTCTAGCGTTGCAAGTCCACAAACATACCGCTGTGCCACTGGGAGGGCGGCTGTAATTGACTGTGTTTGTACAAAACATCATATGTCATTGCTGTAATGGACTGTGTGTATAAAATATAATACATCATGGCTGTAATGGACTATGTGTGTGAAATAATAAGGGAACAAAAATTCAGCTGATAAAGTTAAAAACGAGTGATTTAGCTTTTAGATGGAAAATAAGTTGAATGGAAGGCAAGGAACCTTTTAGTCCAGCTACGCTGTCTTATTGTTCTATCCACTAAATTAAACTACACCATTACAAAGAAAAACTTGGATCCAGCCCTTTTTATTAACATATTTATCCAGCTATCACCATTAAATTAACTACTTCCACAATAATAGAAGCTCCCCTACTTCCGGAAGTAAACCATTTTGTTTACATTAATAAAAATAGTCTTAGCTGAAATAGACTTCTACCCTTCCAACATATTTTTGTTTTCCTAATTTTATTAGGT